AATAAGTGGCGGGCTTATTAACCGTGGGCTTAATAGCCGGCGACTACTGTATTCCGACTTTTGGCTGATGTCCCACTCTGCTGGTTTGCTAATAGTATGTTACAGCCAGTGACAACAATGGGAAATGCAGGGCGTAGGGAAGTAGGACTCTTTATAAGTCTAGGGTTTCTGGCTGTTGCCCTCGGTAATTTCATAAGGGTTTAACACTGATCTTTAGAAAATCACCAGGTTACACGCACAGACATTTTGTCCGTTTGATACATAATGTAGTTGATTAATGTTACTAACATACAATAAGTAGTGTGATTTTATATATTTGACAATATGGTTTGGACTGCTCGAGTGCGCAGTCGGTAGCAGGGTACTAGAAATTACTTAGCAGCTTTAAAACAAAGCCTAATTCGAAGAAAGAGACAGGGAAAGTTGTCAAAATCGTGTGCATTTCAGTTATTTAATGAACTAGTGCACTTCAGCCCAGAATAAGGCTACCCTGAGTGACCGATCGTCCATGAAATTCGTTTCATGTTGTCCCTACAACTGTCTTGCGCTTTCAAGCGTTACAGCCAAGCGTTCAATCTCAGAAAACAGCAATAATTTCTTATTTGATGTAATTGATAAAAGGGTACTTCGCCATGCAGAATCAAATCTTGTGATGACTTTGAAAGCATATGAACAAAATCAAACCTCCGATCGGTGTCAAAACTTCCTCTATCAGATTTAACACAAATTAGGATCCATTTGACCCAATTGTGGAAAACTCGGCGGCCTCGGTGTGATTTGAATCCACGAGAACAAGCGGCAGGCTTTAGTACAGTCAACGTTCTAACTACCTGAGTTGAGTCAAATAAATTACTAAAATTTATCAAAATCCCCTATTAAGTGAATTAGGATGTCTGCGTAGGACTGTTGCATCCTCATCATCCACTAACCACACACATGGGATGAAACAAGAAGCATTCGCACCTAGAATGCCTGTATATTCCTGCACAAAGGATTGTTATTCGGACAATCTGCTCATAGAAGCTACACTTTCCAATTACTTAGCCTTTTCTCTGCCTTGCCGTACATTCCCGAAGCCCATTCTGTCCCTTATAGAGATAAGAGTCAACAGTTCCTGCAACAGGTCCTCTCCAAGGTCGTACAATGTTGTGGATTCTTTGGCCCTGACCTCTTGTCGAATCTCAGTCCGCAAGATATCTTCTGGCAGTCGGTAGGTTCATTCTTCTGACCCCTACTACTACTAAGCCGTGCGCTCTAAACCTAAACCTGGTGAGTAAGCTCCGGTTTGTGCCTGTTTTTAGATTTCCCTAGCGCCCAGATTCATTATCGCTTTGGGTGCACGCGTGAGGGCAGATTTGGAGGAGACCCAAGACAGCCTGGCTTCTCTTCCTCCCGGTCAGGACCCCGCTACCCTGCTCACTCCCTTACGCACAGCCGCTCAACTTCTGACGGTTAGTCGCTAGTCTGCCTTTACGCCTTTATATCTGAATCGTGATTTCTGCTTTTAATGCTTAATAGAACATCGCTATAAAATTTTGTTAAAATTACTTTAGCCAGGCCGGTGCGTTTAAATTTACCAATGTGTTCTCTTCCTCTTCGGCAGACTTCCCTCTCCGCTACCGTAAATCACCGTGCAAAATTTCTGCCTACTCTTCGATCCTCCCTCGCCTCATCTTCCCATGGTTACGCCGATCTGGATCATGAATTGCCCTGTTGGATAACGGATGCTGCTCCATTTGGCGTCGGAGACACACTACTAAATCTGGTAAGCTGGGGTGAGGTGTCAGATGATTCTTACTCTCTAAGTTTCAGTCAGACTATTCACTTTTAACCCGACTTTGCAATAGAGTTGACCCAAAAAAAACAAAACAGTCACATCGCAAGCATTCACTCATCTGTACTTGAAATAGTTGTGAAAGTGCCTGATCTAGTCGGCATAATGATATCAATTGTAATGCCAAAACACCAGTAAAAGGCAGATAAATAGTAAACAATTATACTACTTATGATAAGTGAGTAGCCACGTATATTTACTATTTACCGTTTGCGGGTAGATTCTGCGTACTTCACTCGGGAGATCGTCCTCAGCTGAGCCTATTGGACTCGTCAGTCTGTTTTAAGACTCGTACTTGTACTTGATTCTAGTAGCTCTTGTTGTTGGATGAATCGGCTACACGGATGTCATTGATAGCGGCAGCCCATTGGCTGCGGTTGGAAGCGAGCTCCTCAGCACTTGTTGCAGTGTCGCAAGCCATAAACGGTTACCAGGCCCATGCGCTCGACGTCTGAATTGACAGTGTTGAGCCACGTATTAAGTTGACCGCCATGTCGGTATCTGCAATTTGAACTAGGTGAGGGATTCATAACCCTTCTACAGAGGTCTGTCAATGGTTTGAGCAGTACATACAATCGGCGAGGCTGGATACAGTAGTCGCCGGCTTTTAAGCCCACCTCGGGCCCAGACCAAATTGGGC